GGCGGTACCTCAACGATGCTAGAATTCAAGTACAGGGTCCGGTAATGAAGTATGGTGTTTTTGCAACGACTATTACATGCAGCACTGTCGAGCCAAAGTTTTCACGATTGATATCTACTCGTTCCGCGATGCCATTTTAGTAGCCATGGAGCCGTTATCTGTGGCACATCGCGTGTTTATTTACAACACTTTTATTGAAACTGGTCGTTCTGTTGTGCTCACACAGCGACGATTTCGAAACCATTTTAACGTTGGTCGGCATGGTCGCGTTCCAAGACGCGATACCATTTTGAAGTGGGTGAATAAATTTCAAACAACCGGATCGTTGAGACCTGGTACTGCAAGGGGAAGAGATCGAACAGTGCGAACTCCGGAAAACATTGAAAGAGTGCAACAAGCGGTGGATACTAGCCCTCACCGTTCAGCGGTACGTCACGCTGGCGCTCTTAGAATGTCAGATCGTTCAGTTCGCAGAATCTTGCATTTGGACCTCCACTACCATCCGTATAAAATTATGGTTGTGCAGAAGCTGCTCCAAAATGACTTTGTGAGACGACACAGGTTCGCAGAAAGGATGCTGGAATTGCTGCACGGCAACATCGTTTTGTTCATGAGTGACGAGGCCTATTTTCATTTATCGGGCATGGTAAACAAACAAAACTTCCGATACTGGGCACACGAAAACCCACGAGAACTGCATGAACAACCTCTGCACTCTGAGAGGGTAACTGTTTGGTGTGCCGTATCTCGAAATTGCATAATTGGCCCGTATTTTTTTCGTGAAAACGGACGAACAGTGTCAGTGAACTTAGATCGTTATTGCGCCATGTTGCGTGATTATTTTCTGCCCGAACTAAGAAGACGACGCATTGACATCAATACAGTTTGGTTCCAACAAGATGGGGCGACTTGCCATACATCAAGAACTGCAATGGGCTTTTTAAGGGAACATTTTTCTGGGCGCCTTATTTCGTTGCATGGAAATGTGGAATGGCCACCTCGGTCACCAGACCTTTCATGTTGTGACTACTTTTTATGGGGCTATTTAAAATCCAAAGTTTACATAGACAAACCGCAAACTCTTGAGGATCTTTCGGAACTCATAACGCGCGAAATTGAAAGGATTCCTCGTGCCATGCTAGAAAGGAGTATGAATGATTTTGCAATCCGTCTCCAAGAATGCATCGACAAGAATGGACGCCACCTAACTGATGTAATTTTTCGCACCTGACTATGTTATGTTACTTAAATGGCATCATTCCACTAATGTATTAAAATAATAAATTTTGATGTATGTTTAAAAATGAAAGTTTGTAATTTTTTTCAAAAACACCATACTTCATTGCCGGACCCTGTACTAGACTGGCCGCCAAGGAGTCCTGATCTCAACCCCATTGAACACATGTTGGATACATTAGGAAGAATGTTTAGGCAGAACTATGGAGAATTTCAAACTGTGGCTGCGTTTAAACAGGCGCTGGTATGCGAGTGGAAGCCAAGACACAATAGCTAGATTAATTGAGTCTATGCCAGATAGGATGACAGCTGTTATTCAAGCCCAGGGAGGCATTAGTCGTTTTGATGACAATTTTCTATTACCAATGATGTCACTGTAATTTTTTAAGTTAAATTGTTTATGGTTATAATTCGAATAGTTTTTTTTACCAGTGTTGTCACTGTAATTTTTTAGATTAAACTTTTTATGGCTACGATTTACATGATTTCATTCAAAACAGCATATATTCTTCAATAATTGAGATATTGACATGAATGAAAAAAAAACTGTTGATAAAAGTTAAGGTTTAAAATTCCCATACGAAGAAACATTATTCAGTAATCCAATGTTTCCACAGGGTGTTCAGAAATTTAGGGCAAAATGCACCTTTTCGTTACACCCTGTATGCCAACAAACATTTTTTGCAAGATCGGCAGTCGGTAATGACTACAATGAAATCACCTACAACTTGACGAAAAAATTAACGAAATTGATGCAAAGGTTAAAAAGTTATTTAAAAAAATTTTGTTTGTGCGGTTAATTTTACACGTTTACACGTCAATGGAAGCGTCGCCTCTCAATCTTTCATCAACACGGGTATTACGTTTAAAACCTGTCTTCTACGCCAAAACGGTCACTTAACGCTCTAGATACGTAGATAACTATTACATCAGATTGTTGAATCTATACTGCCCCACAAAATTGTGTCATCATTCAGATTAGATTCGATTTATTTCCAAACAAAAAAAATACAAATTGCTACTAGGAAAATCGCAGGGGTATTACGTGCCTTGAAAAGTAACATTATGTTGTTTTTTTTTGACATATAGGTATTTTGGTGACATTATTTAGGTTTTTTACAAGATGCCAACTTGGCTACTTGATGTGTACTCGTTCGGTAGCTCAACGTCATGACGCTTCAAATGTCAATGTTTGGCTGTGATCTGCTTCAGAAATGTTTCTGAAATTTATTTCTTGTCTCAAATACACTTACTTGTCATGGATTCAAAGCTAGAAAGTAGTTGCTGATCCACTTTTTCTCATTCATTCTGGAAATTACATATTCAAACTCAAAAGTTAGAGAGATAAGAAAATAAAATCCCTGAATGGTAAAGTATATTACAAGTGAGAAAATATGCTACAGAAACGAATATTTATGAAACGTAAAAAAGTTGTTACATTATCGGTCCGTGTAAAGGCGAGAATACACATGCTTGTTACACGCACAGAAGCATGCCAGTTACTGGATTGTGCGTGCTACTTGCATGTGTGACTTTCTTTGCCAGCAAGAAAGCACGCTAGAAGATAGCACGCCAGTAGATCGTGGTCACTGGCATGCTATTTTACTGGCATGTGTATTCTCGCCTTAAAGCTAACATGGCCATGCAAGGCAACTGTTGAAATATTCTCTACTACGCTCTACAAGCCTATCCGTAGCGAATTTTTTTCCGAAATCGTTGCAAAACACTTAAAAAAAAGGAACATTGACGCCTTGACCTTCGAAATGGCTCAGTCGGTGCCCCAGGCTAGACATAAGTTTTGGCAGCTTGTCTTGTTAATCTTGTCACCTGGATTGCGGTGTTGCCAGCTCTTCGGATGTGTTTGCTATATTTGCTATTTTGTTAGAATATTATAAAAACAGAAGCTTTGAATAAAATATTGAGGAATACCAATGGAGAAATATAAAATTTAAGGCGTAATGATGTTTGCCAAATAGCTAAAAGTGATTCCGATATACAGTGAAAGCTCTCCTTGCGGACAGCTCCTATAAGCGGACATCTCTTTTAACCGGACAAAGCTCCTGGAACCGACTTTCAGCCATCAATTTTCAATGTTAAATGCATTCCGATAAACGGACGCTCTTATAAACGGACGCGGACACTAGATTTTCCTGTATGTGATCAAAAAATCTCCCATAAGCGGACGCGAAACTCTAATACCCGGACGATTTTTTAGTTCCGCTTATTGCAATGCACATATCTACATACATAAAATTCGGTAATTCCCCGATTTATATTAGGTGATTCCCCATTTACGCATTTCGTTGGGTAGCCTGTATGTAATCTTGTGGCTTGTCTTCAGTTCAGGCAAATTCGTAGTTGATTGAGTTACGTATTTTATTATTGTAACTGTAAAATGGCACCAAAAAAAGGATGCTCTCGTTTAAGGAAAAGATGGAAGTTGTTAACGTATTAGACAGAGAAAGTGTTTCAGTTCGTCATTTGGCAAAGAGGTTTAATATTGGGAAAACGCTAGCAGCTGAAATTGCCAAAAATAAGGAAGATATCAGGAGTAAATGGCAATCAGGAACTAATATAAATCAAAAGAAGGATTTTTAAAAAATTTTGCTATAGACAAAACATGTTTTGAGTGGTTTGTGAAAGCTAGAAGTCAGAACATTCCAATCTCAGGGCCGTTAGTGAAAATGAAAGCTAAAGAAATCGCCACTACTTTGGGCTATACTAATTTCAGTGCGTCCGACGGGTGGCTGCAAAAGTGGCGCAAGAGACATAGTGTGAGTTTCAAATGCATATCTGGCGAAGCTGCTGCAGTAGATCAAGTTGATGTGTCACAATTTTTGGAGAAACTTCCGTCCATGTTGCTTGGCTACAAACCAGAAGATGTGTACAATGCAGATGAGAGTGGACTTTTTTTTCGCGCATTGCCCGACAAAACTCTGTCCTTTAAAGGAGAAACATGTGTGGGTGGAAAGTTGTCTAAAGATAGACTAACCATTTTATTCTGTGCAAATATGGCCGGTGAAAAATGCGATTTGATTGTGATCGGGAAAGCGGCTCGTCCCCGTGCTTTAAAAAACGTTGCTATTAAGGATCTACCAGCGACTTGGAAATCCAACAAAAAGGCATGGATGACCCGAGAAATCATGTCTGAGTGGTTAGTCGAATTCGACCGGAAAATGAGAATCCAAAAAGGGCAAGTGCTTTTATTTTTAGACAATGCATGCTCTCATCCTCGTGATATGAAAATGCAAAATGTGAAAATTATATTTTTACCGCCAAACACAACTTCTGTTTGTCAGCCCATGGATCAAGGTGTCATACAGAACTTTAAATTTTATTATCGGCACTTGATTTTAAAACATATTTTAACAAAAATTGACGATGGTCAAAGCTTATCTGAGCTTACAAAGTCTATCAATGTGTTAGAAGCTTTGTATTTTATAAAAACAGCATGGAATAAAGTAAATTCCTCTACAATTAAAAACTGTTTTGGCAAAGCTGGATTCAGAAAAAGTGAATGTAGCTCAGAATTTGCTGAGCAAAATTATTGCGATGCTGAAGACGATCTGCCCTTAGCGACACTTGCTCAGTTACTGCGACATGCCAAACATTTAGGAGTAGCAGATCCCCAGAAAGTAGATGATTTCCTGGCCATAGACAATAACATAACAACAGAAGAAAATGCCATTGGCAACTTTTCGAATTTGGATGTAGAAAGCCCAGGCCAACTTGAATATGGTAGTCCAAACGACTCAGAAGAAGAAGTGGAACTGGTGGACTCACTAAGCGGTTCAAAAACGATAAATTCATATGGGGAAGCTCTAAATCATATTTCTATATTGAAAAAATTTGCTAAAGATGATTTCACTGCATTTCAACATTTGAAAAATTTCGAAAGTTATTACGAAAATTGTCTCCTTCAGCAAAAGATGGTGAAATTTCGTCAGACAAACATTTTAAACTTTTTTCAACAAGCTAAAGAATAATGTTTTTTTTAAATTCTCGTACCATGTATTGAAGCATTTATGTTTTTGTATGCGTATATGTACATATATTATATAGATATATAGCATAAATACATACTTTAAAAATGTGGCGAGTTTCTGTTTCATTTTTCTCATGATTATAATACCTCATTTCCTCATGATTATATACCCCGTTATTTATACTCTATACTTACATACTCTCTTTTAAACTGACACCTCCCATAAGCGGACGAAAGTTACGGAACCGTGAGTGTCCGCTTATGGGAGCTTTCACTGTACATATATTCCCATTGTACGTAGAAGAACAAACAAAACAAGGATGGTGGTGTTCATTTTTTATGAAAATTAGTGTTTTTACGTATTGTTATCAAGTTTTTAATCACTTATATATCGTGTGCTCGTGTCTTTCTATCCGTTTATCTATCCAGGTATCTTAGCTGTGTATTATTTTTTGTTATTTTAAAAAAGTGTACAATAATTGAAAGTTAAAACGGTAAACTTGCTATAGATAGGTAAGGATGAATTGTGGGCTTGTGATTTGGATAAGCCTTGGATATTGTGAACTAGACTAGACAAGGGTAGTTTTTCATTTAAAAGAAGATGCAATCTAAAGAAAGAACGTTAAATTCGATCTAGATAGGAGACGAAAAGGATTTTACTTTGAGATAGTGTTTATGATTTTCGAAAACAAGAAGAATTATCCATGTTACGTAACCTCAAATATAGGCAAACATCACTATAGTACTTTTTACGAGTATCTATTACGTTTTGACGTCTACTGATCACAAAAGAGACATATTTGTATCAGTTTATAACGTTGGCAATAATAAATTCCAGGACACTATTTAAAGCTGTTGTTCACATGTTTGGATTAAACTTTCAAGTGATTGGGAAATGTTTGTTTTTTGCAGTGTTCTCAACAGTTGGTCTATGTCCTATTTGAGTACATTTCATGGCTTCCTGCAATAGTTTTACATGTTACTTACTTATTCCTAATTCCTAACTTGTTAGAGTTACCTGAATAATGTTCAGACCTAATCCAGGGAATCGAACCTCTATCAATTCAGTCATTCTGAATTAATTGTATGGCTGTAAAAAGTAGAGATGGTTAACACAGTCAACAACTGTTTATCTTATTTTACTCCTACCTGACTTGAAATGTAGTCTGATCATTAGCAGCCATTATGCTTGTAGCGTTTTTTTTTTTAAATGAAAAAGAACTTCTCTAACTGAAAGAGTTGTTAGCAAGAACAAAATGAATCTGTAGCGTACAAAAAACCACAAGAAAGTACGGATCTGTCTATGTGGCGTTGACGTACCTTCTAGAATGAATGATGTGTCAGTTGTCGATATGGGGAGTTTTGAAATGTCACTAGATAATCAGCTATTATTCTACTGTGATGGATATTCATGGAAAATATTGTATTTGTGCTCTTTTAGGTTAGGATCTCAAAAACTAGAGCCTGTTGAGATATTTGAACTACGGATTGGGATTCAAAGCAACAAAAAATTAATAAGTACTCTGGTTTCTGGCTAAAATATTGTCGGCCTGTGTAATTAACACTTTACCATATTGTGTAATTTTCTAAATGACTGACGACTGACAACATACACGTTTTGTTAGATAATGCTATCTATTCTTTGCGTCAATAAGTTGATAAATATTTATCAAAAGCACTTATGTTTATCGCGACATGAATTTTGTTGAAATATAGCTTTAATATCTTGTTCCAAAATTGTACGCCTTTTTAATGTTGTGTTTGGGTTTGCAAGCTATAAGCTTAACATTCAAATATTTCTTGAGGCATAGTGAATATCTATGGGTCTTAAATAAAAAGCGACTAATTGTTTTGGAAATGAGTAATTCTTTGAAAAAGTGAAACATACAAAAATAAAAGCTACGATATAAAAACTCGCCTATTATGTGGGCATAAATATTAACGATAATAGTCAGTTTTTGTGGCTGCCTCGAAGGCATCTACTTTGTTTATACTATGTCAAGTGGTTATGGAGTTGGAAGGGTGAGAGGCACTCAGAGAACGGTATTCAGTACCTCGCCCTAACCATGGTACTTCACTTCCGCATCTATTTATTATTTGTATTATACAGGGTGGCCAATATATAGAGCTGCAGGATCCCACAACTCGTCCGTATTGTTAAAACGTGTTACTTAAATAATGAGTCGATTGTTGCATATCGCCCACCCTGTATAATAACTTTCGCGTATTTTTCTAGTCTCATCCAAGGCTGGTTTCAGTACTCGACATTCAAGTGGACGTAACTATAAATAAAACTCTTAATATTTTCTAAATTCATTATTGATGTATGAACTTCGATCACGTTATTTACCGTAATAATATATTATCTCGGGTACTTAAGCCACTCATTCTTTCTTAGCTTTAGCGCTCTTTTTTCTCAGCCTCAAAAAGAATTTAAGCAAGAAATAAGGGGAGGTTATAACTAGCAGTATAACTACGATGGAGTCTAAACTGTAATACTGATACCAAGGGAGTTTTGCGCCTGCAACTCTGAGATGTTCAGCGCCTTTGTGACGAATCACGTATTCTATCCAGTAAGTGGTCAAATCCATAGGCTTTATTGGCCTATCATGGAAATAACTGGATCTTCTTTTAGCATTTTCAGCATACCTGAAGCCAAAAAGAATAGTTTTTGCGATTATCTATAATCACCATCTATGATGAATAATTTTTTAAGTAGTATACAACATAATACAACAACAATCATCTTTTACAAATCACATTTTGGTCCGTAAAGTCAGGTTTGTGGATGTTTTTTTTTGAAAATAATTAAGTTATAGGATGCAAAAGAAATAAAGTCTTTTAACAGTATGTACTGTAAATGTATTCGTATTTTTGATGTGTTGAAAAATGTCCTATTTCAAGTTGCCAACGTTTCACCTTTATTTTTCGGTTTCTTCAGATCTAAAAAAATGTGAACAAATATGTTTGTAAAATTTTATATTCGTAAATTAGGTATTGATTGAATGACAGACAAAAAACACACAGAACTAAAAGAAACGAAAACAATGACTGTAAACGTGTGTACATATTAAGAAATTATATGGTTTTAAAAATTTCAACAATTTAACAAAATGGGACATTATATAGATACATATCATAAAACGGATTCAAAACACAACAGCAACTGTAAAGAAGTATGTAAAAACCAGAGCAAGCTTACCTATTAAATGAAACACAAAACAAGTCCCAACGGATAACAAACATCCCATAGGACAGCTATGAAAAACAAATAAATGAATATAACATGAAACATAAAAGTGATACCAGTACAGATTAAACCATTTGAAGCTAGACTGAAAAAATCCAGATTTTATCTGCGGATATATGGGGTTGTCCAAAATGGATGCAGGAAAGTAAACGCATATTAAAACAAGAAAGATTGATATTCAAATCAAGTTGGGTACTTTATGTTGAAGGTTCATTTATACCATTTATGTATGAAAAATAATATCGCTCAAATGTTCACCACGACTGGATTTACAGACGTCCACGCGATGGTCGAAATTTTCAATGACATTTTGCAACATGGTCGGTTCTATGGCATTTATCTCGGCAATGATGTTGTTTTTGAGTTCTTGTAGGGTAGCTGGTTTGTTGACGTAGACTTTGCTTTTCAAATATCCCCATAAAAAGAAGTCCAAGGGAGTCAAATCGCCCGATCTTGGTGGCCATGGCACATTTCCTCTGCGCGAAATCACGCGATCACCGAAGAAGGACTGCAATCGATGGATATTGACGTTGGTTGTGTGGCATGTTGCACCGTCTTGTTGGAAATAAACATCGTCCATATCCATTCCTTCAAGTTGCGGCAAAAAATAGTCCTCTATCATCACGTGATATCGCTCAGAATTGACGGTAACGGCGTCCCAGGCCGCATTTTCGAAAAAGTAAGGTCCGATGATGCCTTTTGACCTCAATGCACACCACACAGTCACTTTTTGAGGATGCATCGGCTGCTCTTGATACTCACGGGGATTTTCGTTCGCCCAGATGCGGCAGTTTTGCTTGTTTACCGTCCCATTCAAAGTGAAATGCGCTTCGTCGCTGAACATGATTTTTGATGAAAAATTGGCATCAATTTGGCGGTGTTCAAGGAGCCAATCTGGAAACGTTCGGAGCGAAAAATGGTCGGCCCGACGCAGCTCTTGCGTCAATTGGATCTTGTAGGCGTGTACATTCAAATCCTTGTGGAGAATGCGGAGCAAACTGGTTCTCGAAATGCCCAATTATTGGGATAGACGCGTTGTTGATTGTTTCGAATCGTCTCTCACACTCTCCTTCACAACAGCAATATTTTCTGGTGTGCGAACGCTCCTTGGCCGGCCAGAGCCTGGCAGATTTCCCACAGAACCTGTTGCCTCGAATTTACGCACCAGACGACCGATGGTTGTTTCGTTTGGGCGGTTGTTGCGACCGAAATGTTCACGAAGCGCGCGAAACGTGTTTTTTTATTTTTGCACCATTTTTGTAGTGCTCTTGAATAACTTTAATGCGGTCTTCAATCGAATACGACTCCATAGCGATCAATGGTAAACATTCAACTAACAAAATGACATGTCGGTGACAGAAAATAAAGATGGCGTCTATGTCAAATTGACGTTTACTTTCCTGCGTCCCTGTTGGACAACCCTATACATATATGAAGAACAGTTATTAATTCTGAGATAATATTACTGCTCAGGGTTTAAGTCTGGAAAATTTCTTTTAAAAACATTTTTAATCTGACTAAAATCGTCAGTATCTGTTTTCTTGATGATGACAGCATTGTTATGTGAATTTCAAAAACCATATGATAACTTCTTAATATGCACACATGATTATTGTCATTGTTTTTTATTTGTTTTTTGGTCCGTGTTCTTTGGTCTTTGTGTGCTTATTTAATTGAACTTTTTAATTAAATGCCTAATTTGCGATTATAAAATTTTAAGCGCTGAGGAAGGTGAAAAATAAACGCCGAAACGATGAAAACTTGAAAAATGGCACTTTTAACACTTATACTCGTATATCCCAAGAATGCAAATAAATTAAAATATTAGGTTGGTTGAAAATTTACAATTGTATTTCATATCTTACTTGGGGTCGTTGAGCAGCTTTTGTAATGCTTCATCCAGTTTTTGTTCAGTGATTTCCGAAAATGGCATAAATAATCCAAAGCCGGCTTCCTGAGCTCTGGCTGCGTTCATGCTTTGGTCTGCAAAAATTGGAAGAGCCAAAACAGGTATTCCGTGGTAGATTGTTTCAAACGCGCTGAGAAGGCCTCCATGGGTTACGAATAGTCTCATGTTGGGATGCGCTGAAGAGATAAAAACGTTAAAAAACTTGGATTTGATCAATAAAATGTAAAAAATACTGTCATCGATACGACCATGATGAAAAGATTTTCTAGATCTTTTGAATTTCTGAAATTGAATGTAACCTTAGACGTCTGGTTACAATATTAGATTGCGTTCCTAAGATCTGTTGCCATACTACCTACCAAGCAGGTCTTGCTGAGGGAACCACTTCGCCAGTTTCACGTTATCTGGTTTACCGGGAATTGTATCCTCATTCCACTTCCACAGGACCTTTTGCTTCAGTTTTCCAAATGCTTTCAGAATAGCCATCTTCTTTTCCTCTCCCATCGTCGATGGTACTATGTTTGATCCTAAACTGAAGTATATTACACCTTCCTTTGCGCTATCCATGAAATCCTGAAAACATTAATCTTGAAAAAGTACACACAAAAAGGAGTACTATTGATTCAAGAGCATGAGTTTCTATGCAATTGTGATATTGATTCGAGATCACAGATACTTCAAATGAGGTAATTTCGTTGTTTCAAAGAAACGCAGCACTTACGATATTGAGAAATGGACCTTAGTTCAAAGATATATGTCTTAGAAACATATCAAGGTCACAGTCCTCAATTGAAGATAGTTGTTCCTGAACCAAGATCACTCTTTTTTGTGCGTTACAAAAACATTTTACTTTGTTCTATATTGAGGGCATTTTTTCTGTTTTCAAATAATTCGAAAAATGCTGTTTTTATACCGTTCATCTTATCGGGATTTTTTTAATATCTTATTTTGTAAATTATTTTTATAGGACTCTTTGAAAAAATATTATCTTTACCTGGAGCTCCTGTGGCAATTTCTTGGGAGGTTTGATGTGGAACCCTCCGATTTGTACCATATTGGGCACCACTGGTACAGCTTGATTCGTACTTTCATGTGAATTACACAGCACCAATGAGACGTTATACAGGGCGGTATCAAAGTCGATTCCCTTTGGTAGATACTCTTCGGCAATCTTTTTATGCCCCGGATAGGACAGTAAATGTAGACTGGCGTACCATATGGTTTTTATTATGAGATTCCAGGTTCTTTGGTACAGGTTCATTTCGATGGGATAGGCGATATTCCAGTCAGGGATGTAAGATGATGGATCAGGGTTTCCAACCAATCCATTTACCTGTTAGTATTTTCTTGATTTAGATATTTTACTTGAAATCGATTCAAGAACGTGGTTTAGAGTATGAAAGTAGATTAGGAATATGCGGTTTAAATCGACGCCTTAGGTTGGTCGTGCATATGCTTTACTTAAGAGAAATTATGACTATTTATACCAAGTACGTTGTGGGATAATTGACGAAAATTTAAATACTACTATACAGGGTGTTTCAGAACTATCGACTAAGGCGATATGGAATGCAGCTACAAAAAACAATCTCTGTTATCGTTTTTAAAGATAACAACACACAAGCGCCGGTTATGGGTCCCTATACTCAAATGTTTTCTACTGTTACACTGAATAACCCCTACAAGTTTGATCCCATAGTTCTGAAACACCCTGTATATACATTCATTCGTCAGCCTCAAATAGAGTCTATTAGAATTATACTAAGTGACATATAAATTCGAACACCCAGTTTAAATGGTTTTATTTTAATAAAATTTTGTATAAGTACTTAATGAAGCATAATAAGTAAATGATAAAAATTTCAAAATGATTGCACTGCTTTAAAGCCCTTTGACCTTTAATAATGTGTGGATGCACCCTGATGTGCTACGCATTCTCCAACGCGCATAGGCATGCTTCTGATCAGGTGGTCAATGTCCTCCTGTGGTATCTCATTCCAGGCAACCACCAACTGCTCTCGAAGTGCTTCTAGAGTCTGAGGAGGACGTTGCAAATTGAGCAATCTCCTACCCATCATATCCCACACGTGCTCAATTGGGGATAAGTCGGGAGATCTTGGTGGCCATGATAACAATGTGACATCATTATGTAGAAAGAAGTCTATTGTGACTCTTGCAACATGCGGTCGGGCATTATCTTGTTGGAAAGTTGGATCTGCCAGGGTGTCAAGATAGGGTAAAAGATGGGGTTCTAGAACTTCGTGGATATAACGCTGCGCGTTCATGTTACCTCTGATGAAGATTAAAGGTGACTTGGAACCATAAGCTATAGCACCCCAAACCATAACTCCAACAGTGTGATGAACATTTCTTTCAACAAAACACTGTGGATTCCTCCTTTCACCACGTTGCCTTCTAACCCTGGCACGACCATCGTGCATACCTAAACAAAATCGAGACTCGTCACTAAAGACAATACTGTTCCATTCCTGATCCCAGAGTGACCGTTGTCTGCACCACTCAAGGCGATTACGTCGGTGTTCTCGAGTTAAAGGGAGGTATGAAAACAAGCCAAAACTTCTCATTCGTCGGTAAACACTTCGCATGCCAATAGGTCTTCCGTGTTCTGCAAACCATTCATTTGCAATGGACCTGGTAGTGGAGAAAAAGGCCAATAATCTTAGGCGGTGATCTTCACGGTCTGTTGTTCTACGGCGGCGTCCAGTGCCCCCTGCTCTTTGCGTACGGCCTTCTCGAAGCCATGCCTGACAACACCTAACCACAGTATCTACACTTCTTTGCACTCTAACTGCAATTGCCCGAAAAGAAAGTCCCACTATACGGCCCCTATCAAACTCACTAAGTTAACGAAATCGTACAGGTCTCCGTACTCTAGGCAACGTAACCGATCGTAAAGGATGTCAAGAACCAAAATCCGCCAACGTTGATTCTTTACTGCGGCTGAAATATTAATTTTTAGAGCGTTAGTGAATTAAAAAAAAGCAGTATAAAAACCGGAATGTCCAACTGATAAGGCTGAAAATTTTTTCACTTGTTATTTACAGTAAGATAAATACATTCGCCAACTTTTATTAAAATAAAACCATTTAAACTGGGTGTTCGGATGTATATGTCACTTAGTATAGTTTTGAAGTATATGAGACTTTGCCTTACTGCAATGGAACAATAATCAACTATGAGTAATGAATTTGGAATATGAACAATATAAAAATTAACATATTAATAAAAAAATCAATTATAGTAAAAAAGCGTGGTTGATATTAAAAGTTAAAATTATTTTTTTAGTTGCTATTTACAAAATTGGAGTTATTATGAAAATATATTCAATTGCCTAGTTACTATAATTGTATTTTTCGTTAATATCATAATTTATTGATCTTATTCGAAATTAAAAAAACACAAAACTCTCCTATACTTCAATGATTTTTTACTTTCTTGTTCGATTTGCTTTTAAAGCTTGATTTTTAGGTTTTATAAACTATAATTTATTTTCTGAATCTCTAATATCAAAACGACAACAAAAGTACTTACAATCACAAGCTTCGATTCTTGGTATATCTTATATCTGACAATAAATCTAAATTTACTCCCAAATTGTTTCAAATTTTGAAATTTAACTTTTTCAAAATCCCAAAATCTTCAAATTATTTTCCAAATTCCGCATTTTTCAAATTTTAAAAACCAATTTTTTGTCAAATCTCAAAATTCAAATTTCTTAAAAATTTATTTTTTTTTTCTAAGATTATTGTATTGTCATCGGCTCTTGACCGTAGTGCAAATTCACAAGTTAATCAATCTTTTTGAAATTGGTGAATATTAGCTAATCAAATAAAAAATCGTGCCAAAAGTTGGTTAAAATCGGAAGTTGGAATTGGGATTTTAACGGCGAAAATGGCAAACATGTGGTTCGCATTTAAAATTTCGTTAAAATTTACTTATCGTAAAAATGGTTTTTTGTCATGAATTGTTTTTGTTTTGTTTGTAACATTCATACATACTTGTTTATGATAGAACTACGTACCCACATATTCGGTCCAATCGTGCTGAAGAGGATCAAATGCGCATTGAAATGTTTGGCAAGTGGTTTTAGTCCATCGTTAAGAAACTGTTCCATGACCACAGCGTCAAATTTTTCACCGGATTTTAGCAATTTTTGTAAATTGGGATGATCCAGCACCTTTTTCATATTTCTGTTTCCCATAAAGTTCATTGCCAAGATGTGAGTGAACATGTTTATCTGTTCCATTTGGAACAAGTGTATCACCGTGCGGTCTGTAAGCACGAACCAGTATTACTTTTTTTAATTTCATCGTATGTCATCTGCTTTTTGTACTTTGCCTTATACAGGGTGGGTCATAATCAACGCTGTAGGGCGGTACCGTTAGATTGCTTGATTCATGTGGCCATGAGTCAATTCACGGTACAACAGTGAGTCTTCGTGGTGCAAGCGTTGTTTGAGAATAATTTCATGATCTTACGAACTTATGGTAAGTGATGTTCGATCTTGATTATGTGAAGTCCTCGTCGAAGTAAATATTTAGAATACATATCGTAGTACCCTCGTAGTAGTATCCAACCGCCCTGATTTCAAAGCGGCACCGCCCCCTTCCCCCCACCTTTCTCCCCTCTGACCACCTATAAACCTTCATTTACTTCAAATCCAAGTTGTTGCAACAACTGGGTGATACATAGGGAGCGAGGGAGCTATTTACTTCGACGAGGACTTCACATAATTAAGATCGAACATCACCTCAAATGTCGCTTGAGCAAAGCTATTGTTTGGCATCAGATATTTGTGACGTATCTCAGAAAACGCACTCCAGCTCGACGTGAGCCTGAGACTACTATAATTTAGCCGGCGGAGAGGTATACGCAATACATGTATTGTGGGTTGTCAATTGTGACACTCTCTGCTAAAACCGACTGCAATGACAAATAAATGCTTTGCACAGATATTTGGGCGTAAAATACGGTAAAACTTGAGTGGTTGCCACATGAGTCTCAATTTCAGTATTATTCAACCCAGTCTGGATGTTGTCTGTTTCAATTAGTTTGCACACTCTGACTTGAGGTTGGAGCTAGGAGTGTTGGTGATTTCCTCATCCAAATGAAGGTTCATCGGATGCCAGAGGGGAGACAGGTAGGGGTAAGGGGCGCGGAGCCGCTTTCCTTCTCTGCGTGCGCGCTTTGAAATCGCGGCGGTTGGATACTACTACGAGGGTACTACGATATGTATTCTAAATATTTACTTCGACGAGGACGGAACATAATCGTTTTTATGTCACTGTGTGACGTTTATTTCCAGTCAAATTTGCAAAGCCCTGACTTGTCCTCAGCCGATTTGTTCTTATTTTTACAATGCTAATCCAAAAACACTCAACGATTCAAAGCAAAGCATTAGACACGAAACGGCAGCAATCTCAAGAGCAACTTGCTGGCGAGTGTTCGACAATTTGAGGTTCCGTGGTAAATATGATGAAGAGTGAAAACTTTTTCAGTAACAGCTGCATTAGAGCAAGCCATTCTAAATAGAAAGGTTGATACAGAAGGCAATAAGGTAAAATGGCTCAAAATTAGAGAAATTGAGGTGTTGTTGTTGAAAGGCAAGCCTTTCATTATTTTTGTTATAACAAATTTTGAAGCTCTCTCTAAAGAGATTAACTTTGAGAAAAAACGCGGCAGACCGTCGAATGCTTCGATTCAAGCATTGCTTGGTAAACCTCTCGAAAAACTGTGTCCAAATAGGAAACCTATAGCAGAAAAGAAGCTAGACGATTTAAAATCATTACTAAGTCTTATACCCCAGGATTCCAAGAAGCTCTATAGGAATCTAGTTGGCGATTCAAGTATTGAGAAAGATATAGATGGGTTCAATGGTCAGCCAGATTTCGAGTTTGAGGATGAATAATACAAATTTTCGATTCAGGTTCTTGATGCATTTGGAAAATGTGTGGTTACTTTTTGCTCATTTAATTTTTGAATCAGTATATAACTGAGCTTATTAATTTTTGACATTCAAGCAATTTCTCATTTCGTTTCGAGAATGCTTTAATTTGTGTTTTTTTAATTTTTCAATGAATTTGATGCTAATTACTGAAATACAAAAATAAAGAATCTTTCCGTAATGCGTTCCTTATTAGCATGACCAAGTAACATTTTTGTGTTGAGGTCATTAAATCAAAGGAGAAATGAGCATTCGTTATGAAAGCAATACTTGACCAAGCGCCATTTTATTTCATTAAGTTTCACGTATAAGAGTTTTTGGAAAAATGATTGCATACATAAATTTGTAATATCATTTTCTAATCACAGAACAAAAATCATTCAATACAATCGTAGCATTGACGTTTAATGAATTGTTAAAATTTATTCATCCTCCTGAAAGACAGAGATCTGTCGCAGAATGCATGCAGAATGCGGTCCAATTGCCAGTAACCTTTTATATCATACGAGTAAAAATTAGCAAACTTTTGTAAGTATAACCTGCTTTTATTATGGTCCACCCTGTATTACAGCTGTACAACTACAAATTTATTTTTGTAAAAGCTGGTTTTGACTCTGGAGCTCCGTGTAGGCACACCTTTTAATCCAGATGTAGAAAAAGTACTGAACAAAGATTCAGTATAAGCTATAAAATAACTGGATATGGTTTCTAAGGATTTGGGCAGTATTTACGAAACAAATATTTGAAGGATTCGACAAAACAAATAAAAAAGATTTTGATAGTCTCAAAACGAATAAAAGTATGAGGTTTAGCAAAAATCCAATTCACATGAACTTTATGCATTTTATTATTTCCCTGCAGATTTTGTATGTACGTCATGTAATTTCAATGTTTTTGCAGAATTGTTGCTATGTGATTTGTGACAAAAACAACATGAAATCTTAGTACTACAAGTTAAGTATTTTAGTAGTGTGAGAGTGTAATCGTGATCAGCTTTCGTTTTTGAATGCTGACTAAAAAATCTTTGATTAGAATAACAATTTGATTACTAACAAAATTATGACATAGAAGAGAAATAACGCAAATATGCAAATATAGCCGCTGAAACTTTCTTTTTGCATTTTGAAAAATGCCTCTAAGTTGACCCAAACATCAACATCTGGTTTCATTTATCAACCAGAGAAACTCAGAAATTTGTAAAATTCAAAGTTTACTGAGCTAAAGTCTCCTATGAGGTAGTGTTTTAAATGAAAACCTATTTTTGTATTTTGTAATGCTTTAGTTAATTCTGATATACTAAAAATAATGTAATGTAAAATCATTTACACTATCTAGATTTTGGGAAGATTGAATAGATTGATAGATACCGTTTTCAGACTCCGTTAAAACCAAAGATATGAAATATAGGTGAATGCTCAAACTCTGTTGATTGTAATTTTGTCAAACATCAACTTTACGCTTTGAACACTTTTACAACTTTTCGCGTTGACTGATAGGAGGTAACCACTTTCATATAATCGGTATTTTCAAGAGGAAGTACGAGGTAGGTATTTAAGTAATGAGACTGGCAACGTAGCTAGCAACACTGGAAGAAAATTAGGTAGTCATCCATTTTTTCCGACTAGTTAATAAAGTTATAATCGGGATAAATCAGGATCAACGGCAGATGTTTAAAAAACTACTCGTACTCACTATGTTCTTCAATAAGCCCAGTCAACACAACGTCCTTAACTTTGCCGTTCTTCGGCGGATTCTTCGTCTCGAACGGGCTGACCATAGTGACGTCATGCCCGGCTTCGGCCAGCCCCCTGGCGATGGCCTCCCCCAGGATAAAGTGACTGGGAGCAGCCGTTGGGAAAACCGTGAGGATTTTGTAGCATTGCGCTAGGCATAAAACGTTCACAATCACAGCGGATGTGAACAGCGCTCGCATCGTGTCGCTGCTTCTACAGTGCTTTCGGTATGAATGACAGCGATTTTTTTTTATCACTGGTGCACGAGAGGACTGAAAAATATAGGACGCGCGATTATCTTACTTATAAAAGTGAAGATACTGATTCACCCACTGATAATCACGAAATCTCGAACGCTACTTCACCTTGAACATGAAATTTTCAAAGACGGCATCTTGGAGCAGATATATATATATACAGGGTGTAAACGTTATGATAGTCATTATTTAAATGGATGATAGAGGGTGTTAAAAGAAGCAAAAAGTTTCATATAACATGGGAGTCAAAACGGATTTTTTTTAGAGTAAAGAAATAAAGATGGAGTTTGTTATTTTTGGCTCTTAGGTATTATTTCATTATTTCATAATGTACTTGTAAAATGCGAACAATTAAAAAAAAACGGACTTACCACTAACTGTCTCAGCCCTTCACCTGGTGTGTGAAAGTTTATTGAACGTATTAAAAAAATCCGCTTATAAATAGGGAAAACAATTTTGATACATACATTGTTTTTCTTTTTAAAAAGGTGTTTCAAATGTCGTCCTGCACTTTCCACACAAGATTCATTACGACGAACCCAGTTTCTTCTTACTCTAGGTCCTCGAAGTTGTCCATTTATTATTTCAGCCGCATTAATTTTTTTTTCGCGAAGTTGTGCGTCAGTTGTTATTGGACCAGCCCCATAAACCATCCCTTTAAGTTCTCCCCAATAACAGACATCCATCGGATTGAGGTCAGGAGTTGAAGCCAAGCGTCTCCTTCAATGCCTTCAACGAAGGCTTTCAATGAGTGGTGCCCGGGATTAATATACGAGGTCTGCAAATTAAGTAATGAGATTGACAACGAAGCATTCGATCTGGAAACATTGAAGGCGCCCTGCTTGGAGGGGAGATAGGAGAACATGTGATCCGTCTTCAATACAATACAATAAGTTTGAACCCGCGTAACCGTTTTTTCTATTGTGTTCTAAAAATGACTGACGGTGTGCTGTCAGGCTTGGCTTCAGACTTCAGCAGGCCTACAGAGGTAGTGTATTGTCAAAAGCCCAGGTTTTTCGGTGGTTTAACGTATTTTCAGAAGGGACAGAATCGATTGAATGATCGAGGAAGAGTTGAGGCGTTCAATGCCTCTTGTCACACAGCAATGTCAATAAACGAGTTTTTGGTCTGTAAAAATATTCCTCTGACTCCTCAGCCTCCTTATTTACCTGACTTGAGTCCTTGTGACTTTTTTGTTTTTCCGAATTTGACATATCACACAGGGGAACTCATTTGGGACAGTCGAAAACATTTAAACGGCTATAAAGAGAGCAAGGCACTATGTGGTTTCAGAAGAAATTCATTTTGAGGGTGACTATATAACATTGTAATTATATGTATTTGAATAAAAAAAAAATTAAAAAATCAGTCTCATCACTTAATTGACAGACCTCGTATGTATTAAATAGTAACAAATTATTGATTAATAGAAAGCAAGCGTCGTTATTAATAATAATCATAATTACAAGCCATCATGCAAACTTCCACATGAAGGCAAATGACTGCTCGTATTTTCCTAGCTAATGCTATCTAAAATAGAATTATACTTGATGTAGATAAGTTGTTAAATATTTGTTCAGTCAAAACCACTTATGTTTGTGGCGGTATGAATCTTGCTGGAATATATGTTACATTGTTAATAATATGCAATTTCGTTATCACTCAAAAGCTTTAATGGTTTTGTGCAAATTAGTATGTGTTTTTAATGTGGTGTTAAGGTTTGCAATAAGTACAATATCAGAAGGATTTCTGAGGAGTAGTGAGTGTTATGGGTTTTAAATGAAAAAGACGAATGGTTTTTAGAATGTATAATTTTCTGAAAAAGTAAGACAAACACATAAGAAAGGATAAGTAATTTGACAAATTTTAAAATATTGTAGTGTTTCTCCAGTTGTCCTAGTCCGCACACAGCTCGGTGCTGATTTCAGTATTCGATAGTCAAGTGAACGTAACTATAATTTATTTTTGTAAATTCATTAGTGATAGAGTTTGATCACGTTGTTTACTGGATGATAATATTATCTCCAATACTAAAAGCACTTGTATCTACCACATTCGAGTCAACAACTTGAAAAAAATTGCTGGAGTTCATATCACTTTTCCACCTTGGTGAAGTGTATAAAAGTTGAAACTACTCATTCTTTCTTAGATTTAATGGTCTTTTTTCTAAGGCTCGAAACGAATTGAAGCAAGAAATAAGGAGATATTAAAACTAACAATATAAGTGCGATAGAGTCTACACTATAATACTGATACCAAGGGAGTTTTGCGCCTGCAATTCTGAGATGCTCAGCGCCTTTATGGCGAATCACGTATTCCACCCAGTAAGTGGCCAAATCCATTGGCTTTATTGGCCTATCCCGGAAATAACTGGATCTTCTTTCAGCATTTTCTCTATATCTGGAAGCAGACAAGGCGATGGTGTAGTTTATAGCCAAAGTACCAGACTTAAGAAAAAAATAAACAGCTACCGTTAATGTTCATACTGCCGTGATAATTTGACTATAAAAAATCGCTAGAATGAGATGTCAGAATTGTCATTGCGGTTTATACAGGCTATAAGTATGGAAAGATTTGTTTTCCGGTTATACTCTTAATATTTGTTAATCAATAATTAATTGCATACTAAAAAATAAACATCCAATTCTAACTTAGTAATATTTTAGAAATAAATGAAAATACAAAATAAAACCAAGTCTCATATATGATAAAGAAAACCCTTGTACAAAAGTATGGAAAGAATATTTTTATTACGAAAAAAAAGTTAAATAAGTATACAAATTAAACAATGTTCAGTATTTTGTTGAAAATCCCTCAGCCTTAATGACTTACATCTTCTTGGGATGGAATCAACAATATTTCGATACACGTCAACTGGAATCTTCCGCCATTCATCTGGTAGAACTTCCTATAGATCATTCTCACTATGAATAATTCTTTGCCGAATATTCCGCTCTAAGTACTCCGAAAGGGGCTCAATTGGATTGAGGTTTTGGGATTGCGAAGGCCATTCCAGTAAGTCAACGCTTTTCTTTAAAAAACAATTTTTAACTAAATGGGATAAATGTTCAAGGTCGTTATTTTGTTGATATCTCCGCAACAGCGGCATTTCGACTATGGCGTAAGGTAACATAGTATTCTGTAATATGTCGCGGTACATAAATCGATCCATTTTCCCAGTTATTTTCAGTATCGGGCCCCCAGATTATGACACTTCCACCACCATGCTTTACTGTAGGCTTTTGATACTTGATATCAATTTTTTCCCCACAGGTCTTCTTACAAACGATCTTCCATCAGCACCAAATATTTTAAATTTGCTTTCGTCTCTCCAAAGCACCGTATCCCAGTATTTAGGTCTCCAATTTGAATGTCTCTGAGCAAACTGAAGTCTGGCCTTTCGATTCTTGTTAGACAGTAACGGTTTTTTGACAGCAACCCTTCCAAACAACCCAACTTCACAGAGACGTCTTCTCACAGTACGGACCGTTACGTATGTGTTGAAATATTGGCGAATGTCTGCATTAATTTGGACGGATCAGCTATCAAAATTCTTTTAATGCCCTTATCAACATAGCGTGTAGTTTTTCTAGGACGACCTGACTTTGGATGATTAGTAACGTTTCCTAGTAACCGGACCTTTTTAATAATTTTTGAAACGACACAGTCGCTTGTTGTATACAAGGCGAGCTGGAATAATGTTTGAAATAAAAATCTTTCCACACTTTTAACCATGACTGTATGTATGACGGGGACCGCGACATCGAAATTAATTCCAATAGTTGAAATTCATTTAGAATCAGACCCCTGGCCAGCTGAGGGCGTGAATATTTTTTTTATAGATAGAAACATTTTCCTCGCGAATCCCGTGTTCCACCAACAATTTGTGGTTCTGAAGTTATTATGATGTACTATTTCTGTTCAAATCTTACTTAGGGTCATTAAGCAGTTTTTTCAATGCTTCATCCAACTTTTGCTCGTTAATTTCCGAAAAAAGCATAAATAATCCATAACCGGCTTCCTGCGCTCTGGCAGCATTCATCCTTTGGTCTGCAAAAATTGGGAGAGACAAAACAGGTATTCCGTGATAGATAGTTTCTAAGGTACTGAGAAGGCCTCCGTGGGTTACAAATAGTTTCATGTTGGGGTGCGCTGGAATAGTAAGGAGATTAAGAAAACTAGACTTGTTCAAGCATTGATGTAACAAAGGCATAAATGTTGTCCAGGAAGTATCTTCGCATCTTATAGGAAAATATTCTGATTGGAATTTTTTGCATAATCTTATTAAAGGATGCCTTATTACGAATCTGCATGTTTTCAGCCCCAAATTTGCGTCAAATGATTTTTGAACAAATTTAAAAAATTGCGTTTTTTTTCTCTGGTGGAAGTGTTAAGTTTCTTAGGATATTTTGAACAAAAAAAGATGTATAATGTTTCTCTAAAGTTGATAGTTTTCTAGAATAAACGATATAATAGTTGCAAAAGTGTGAAGTTTTACATTAATATACTAAGTGACATATAAATCCGAACACCCAGTTTAAATGGTTTTATTTTAATAAAATTTTGTATAAGTACTTAATGAAGCATAATAAGTAAATGATAAAAATTTCAAAATGATTGCACTGCTTTAAAGCTCTTTGACCTTTAATAATGTGTGGATGCACCCTGATGTGCTACGCATTCTCCAACGCGCCTAGGCATGCTTCTGATCAGGTGGTCAATGTCCTCCTGCGGTATCTCATTCCAGGCAACCACCAACTCCTCTCGAAGTGCTTCTAGAGTCTGAGGAGGACGTTGCAAATTGAGCAATCTCCCACCCATCATATCCCACACGTGCTCAATTGGGGATAAGTCGGGAGATCTTGGTGGCCATGGTAACAATGTGACATCATTATGTTGAAAGAAGTCTATTGAGACTCTTGCAACATGTGGTCGGGCATTATCTTGTTGGAAAGTTGGATCTGCCAGGGTGTCAAGATAGGGTAAAAGATGGGGTTCTAGAACTTCGTGGATATAACGCTGCGCGTTCATGTTACCTCTGATGAAGATTAAAGGTGACCTGGAACCATAAGCTATAGCACCCCAAACCATAACTCC